CTACTTTTTTAGAGGGGTAATTAATTAATTTACGTAAATTTAATTAAATTAGACCGCGGTTAGTAAAACGTACTTTATTTTATTAATTATAGTATAGACGTAGTAATATAGCGTTTAATACCCCTAAATTACCTCGTTAATTACTTTTTACTAATTAGGTATATACGTATTAAAAAAAGAGTCCTAGTCTCTTTTTACTTAAGTATAAAAAGAATATTACTTAAATTGCTTTCGTTACCTTAGGTTTTAAATAAATACTTTTAGAGGTTAGTTTCTTAACTTTTAGTTTTATTTAATATACTTATTCTCTTCTTAGCTATATATATTAGTTATATTAAAGTTATTAATTAAGTTATTTATTATTTTTATTTTTTAATATAAGCTCGTTTATTAAAGGGGTTCGTTAGAGTTTAATTAAGTAAAAGGATCCTTTTTATAAGAGCTCTAAGAAGTCTTTATTTTTATTTATATATATATTACGTTTTTAATCCTCTTAGTAAAAGGATTAATTTCCTTTATAGCCTTATTTATTAACTTAGTTAGCTAAGTAAAGTTTATTTTTAACTCTAAACTTTTAAAATTTAGGGTTAATTTAAGAGTAAGTAGCTACTTATTTTATTTATTTAAAAACGAACTAAGCTTATTTATAGCCTTATTTATTTTTTATAAAGCGAGTATAAGTAGTAATAGCTACTTTTTATTATTAATTAATATAGCCTCTTTTTTATTTATAATTCTAAGTAATTAAAACTTAGGTTCGATTATTATAAGTAGTTATTAAATCTTATTTACTATAGCCCTCGATTTAAATAAACAAATTACGGTTTTAGTATTATTTTTTAAATAAAAAGCTATTTTATTAAACGTTATATTTTAAGTAATAATAATTTTTAAAAACGAGAGGATCTAGATTTTATATAAGTTATAAGCGTTCGTTATATAATTTACGAAGTACTTAATATATCCCCTCTATTTTATTTTAAAGCGTCTCTTATTAATTCCTTTTTTATAATCCTTTTTAAAAAAGTACGCTTTATAGCTATATATATACGTTTATTTTTAATAAGGACGTAAATTATAAATAAACTTTAATATATTTATTAATTATTACTACTTAAAATAGTAAGTAAACTAGATTTCCTTAGTTTAAACTAATAATAGCTAGTTAGTACGTTACTTAGGGCTAATATTATATAAGTAAGCTATAGCTAATATAATTTTTATTTAGAGTTCGTTTAGTAAGCTAGTTATTAATATTATATTAATTACTTTATTAATAATTTCTTAGTTAGCTCGTTCCCCTCTTCTATTTAGTTCTTTTATATATAGAAGAGTAATTTTTAAGTTTATTTTTAGTTCTTATACTTATATTTAAAAACGAGTTTTATTATTAATTATAATTATTATACGTTTTATATCTTATTAAATTTTATAAATAGCTATGCCCTTTTATATATATACTTATTATTTAAAAAAGTATAAGACCCTAAATATTATATTATAAGTCTTCATAACTTATAAGAAAATAAAGATCTTATTTAAATATTTATTTTTAATTAATATTAGCTACTTATTTTATTTATAAGCTAGTAGGTAATTAAAAAAGTTTTATAAGATCTTATAATAAAGTCGGGTTACTTTTCGTTTTAAGGTACGTTATAAAATAACCTATTTTATATAAGTAGTTATATAATATTAGTATTTTAAATAGCTTAGTTTTTTAATTTTTATTTCCTAAGCAGCTAAAACGAGCTTTTTAAGTATTATTAGTACGAGATATTTAGATTTAAAGTACTAGAGCTAAGTTATATCCGAACGGTTATTTTTTAATTAATATAAAAAATATAAGTACTATACGCTACGTATTAAAATTATATTAACGAGTAAAAACTAATTTCTAAGTAGAGAATAGGACGAATAGGGCTTATATTTTAAAAAAACTAAATTAACCTTCTTTTTAAACTACTTAATAATAACGTTCTTAAATTCGCTACTAAATTAAAAAGTATAATTAAAACCTAAGTACTAAATACTTATTTTTTAAAAGAGAGCTTTTAATATAACGTTTATATAGAAATTTTTAATAAAACCGATATTATAAAAAGTAAAATACTCTATCTTAGGCCCCTTTAGTTTTATAAAAATATTTTATACAATCCTCGTTCCCTTAGTAATAATAAAATAGGATATTGTTTTAGAGTCTATATTCTCTAAGCTATCGCTTTATTAAATAGAATCTAGTTTTAAAAGTAATTAATTATTAATAAGATAAATAGTACTATAGTTATTTATAACTATATTTTTAAAAAAGAAGTATAGGCTAATAAAGGGGATAAAAAAAATAATAAGATTATTATTTTTATTACCCTCCGTACTTAGCTTAAGGAGTAAACTAATATTAATAATTATAACTACGATATTTAAAGAGTAAGTCCCTTTAAAGTTCTTTTTATTACTTAGCTTATTAGTTTTAGTCGTTTTTTTAAATCGACCTTAGTTATTATTATTTTATTTAAGAAGGGGTTTTATATAAATTTAGCTTTTATAAGCGAGGTTAATATAAAAGTTAATATACTTTTCTTAGTTTAAATAAGAAATTATTTTCTAAGCCTCGTTATTACTTAGCTAAATATATTCTTATTTTATTTTACTTATTAAAATAAGCTTTACTTTTATATAATTTATTAGCTTTTAGTAATAGGACCCCTTATAAGGGTAGTTAATAAACGAGTTAAGAATTACTTTATTTTATTTAAGGGAATTTAAATAACTTATTAATATTATAAATATTATAAGGGTTCGTCTATAACTCTTATTATATACTACCTCTTTATATAATAAATTATTAAAAATCTTAGTATAATACCCTATATTAGAAATTACTTCCCTTTTTTTTTTTAATTTAATAATATTAGTAAGCTCTTAATTAGACTAATTTAGGGTAAAGTAACGTATAGTTATATAGAAAAAGGCTTTTAAAATAAGGGTACTTTAGATTTTAAGTAGCTTAAGTTATATTACTTAATAATAAGCTAAGAAAAAGTTTTTAATCTAAGTTAATAAGTTAATACTAAAATTTGCCCTGTTTATAACTACGTTAAATTCCTTTTTTATAATTATAAATAAATTAAAGTCGCTTAGTACGTACTTTTATTTAAAAACCCGGATTATAATATAAAAGGAGTAATTTAAAAAATTAATAAGTTCTTTTTTTGTATTTTCTAAAATTTCTTAAGTAATTATAAAAGAGATTTAGTAATTTATTAATTTATATAATTTCTTTTTTTAAAAATAAGAGATTATTTTAAATACGGTTTACTAAATAAAAGAGGTATATTTTTTAATAAAACGTGCTTAGTTTACTATTACGGCCTTTAGTTTTATTAAAATAACTAGTTACTTAATTCGATCGTTTCTAATTAAAGGTTCGACTATAGTCTTACTTTTTAATTATTTAGTCTATTATTAAATAAACTCCTTAAGTTTTCGTTAATATTTAGTTAAAGCCGTTTTATATACTTAATCTTAAGTAGTATTTTATATTTTAATATACTCCTTAATTAAAAGAATAGACTTTATAAAGAGTAACGGATTTAATAAAAAAGTATAGTTATTTAAATTTAAAAAGTCCTAAACGTCCTTTAACTAAGCCTTAATTCGTAAAGCGAAGTATTATTTTAGCTAGTTTCGCTAATAATTAAGCTTTTACTTAAGAGTATTAGTAGTCTTTTTAAAAAATATTAGTTTACTCAAAATTAAGCTTAACGACTATAATAGGGATTAAATAATATTATAAAAAAGGATATAGTAAACCGCAGTCCCTAAGAAGTAACTTTTTAATAGAGGTATAGGGGTCTAAGTTAGAGCTGGGCTTATAACTGTCGTACAAAAACGGAACCGTAATTGCCGGCCAGCAATTACGCCTTATTTACCACACATATATAATCCTAATTGGCGAGAATCTATGCATCAATCGGGAGAGGTCATCAATATAAGAGCAAGTGGAAGCTTTCGATGCCAAGATTGTTTCCTGTGTAAGTGGCTCTAACGTTCAAAGTGCGTCCGGTGGAACACTTCTAACTGCGCGTGGTCATGGCCACTCATGACTTTCTAGTCGACCAAGTCCTTGGTTCTAAGCAAGTGCTATAAAGCACCTGCAGAGAACCAGGCGGTCAATTGTGTACATAATGCAACTGTGAGTTCAAATCACGACAACAGTCACTCAAAATATCCTACGAAAATGATACTTGTACTGCCAAAGTAGTAGCGATAACACTATTCCCAAGGTTGAAGACCTCGGAGACTGGTTGCCGATGCATGCAGCTCTGCAGCGATATTTCCCGCGGGTTATCAGGCCATGATTAATCTAGAGTCATCTGGGAAATAATTCCATATGACCCCCCAGTAGACAAGATAATTCTAGCCCCGAATAATCCATGGAAATAAGCAGTCCACCCAAAAGCCATGCTGAGTCGCTGACTAGCTTCAATGTAAACCCAGTTCCACCAATGTGGTCGTGATTAGGACGGAGCTCTCCATACTTTATATGACCAGGCTAGTTCCCGATAACGTAAGAGCGCAGGTTGCTCCCAGCTGAACAGCCCATTCGCTTCAACCATGTAGAAAAGATATGCGCTGGCTAGTGTTCTGCCACAGCTTGCGAGGCTATGATCAATATAATTAAGTTCAAAAGGGAGGCCCGTACATGACTCGAATACCACTTCTCATGAAAAATCACCGAGCTTCTCTCCCCGAAACCACCAGGGGGTTTGACGATGCGGATTTGCGGCCCCTAGTCCAAACCTCAATGCGTAGAATACGGGGGGAAAAAAAAACAAATACGAAACCGAGTAAGGAGAGCGTTCCTGGTTGTATAAATGGTTGGGAGGGACCTCTCAGCTATATCCGTTCCCTCCTACTAGCTCTCCGGACCAACCAGTCAAGACCCAAAGAAAGTTTTTAGCTCTGATCACCAACTCACTCGCTTTGATTCGATCATCATGCAATTCGCAACTCTTCTCGCATTCGTAGCCGCGCTGGCCTCGCCCGCGATCGCGGCCTCATGCAGACCATACAACAACCCGGGCATGATGGAAGGCAACTCCTGCACCGCCAGAGAATCCTGCCCCTGGGGACAGAGATTCGGGGAGATCAAGGGGTACAACTTTGGCGATGCTGGCAAGCCGTGTTCTGTTGACGTAAGACACGAAATTAGCACGGGAAATCAGGTCATATCTGAATTTTGCTGACACTTATTCAGTTCACCTGCTGTACTCGGTAAAAGCGTCAGGAGGATTGCATATCGAGGCGAGAAGAAGGCAGACTCCTTTCGGACGTCAGCATCGACGGGAACAAACCATATTGTCAATTGCTTCACATCGGGTGTAGGAAGCCTCGGAGTGCATCTTCAGAATTGTTGATTCTTCTACATAAGACATAAGCGCTAGAATTTGAGTCATCTTGACTTTTTCGCCTTCAGCGTCCGCAACATGGCCGAACGTGACACATTTCATTATCCATATCGAAGAACGCCACTCCTTTTGATCCACAGAGACTCAAAGCCCTTATGGAACGCCTTACGGCAAAAGTCTCTTGGGCGTACGAGGGTAGTACGCCGCCAGGTGGACACTGGGTAGAGCCAGGAACCAAGCAACCACACGGTCGAGACCGATGCCACCACCACCGTGGGGTGGCACACCAACCTGACGGAACACCGTGAGGTACTCCTTGATTCCGGCGCTCTCAGGGTCGATGCCCTTGGCGCGAATGCGCTCCTCGAGCTCAGCCGGGTCGTTGATACGCTGGCCTCCGGAGAGAACCTCCTGGCCACGGATGAAGAAATCGAAAGCGTTCGTTACGCGAGTGCCCTCACCAGTCGTGGTGCCGGCGTCGTCAAGCTTGGCATAGAACGGGCGTGCCGTCTCGGGGAATTTGTCGATGACGTAGAAGTCGGTGTTGTACTTCTTGCGCACGACCTCTCCGAGGGCCTTTTCTTGAGGGGTGCTCATGTCCTCATCGTCACGAACGTTGGCGAATTCGGCGGGGCCCTCTTCGCGAAGAAGCTTCTGGGCCTCGGCAAAGGTCAAGCGGACCTCCTTGCCGGGCTCGGGAAGGAGGAGGGGCTCGGAGTGGTAAACAGATCGGACGGTCTCAATCTCGTCGGCGCAGCGCTCTGTAGCAACAAGAACCATGGTTAGCATTTGCAAATGAACGAATCTTTGACATTAAGGACTTCGGAATGGTTGTCAACTCACCCTGAATGCCACGGAAGATGGACAGCAGGACGCCCTCCAGGACGGTAAGGACCTCGGTGTAAGACTGCTTGATTTCCATCTCCACATCAAGACCGGTGAACTCGGTCATATGTCTCGGGGTGTTGGAGTTCTCGGCTCTGAAAACGGGGCCAATGCTGAACACACGCTCTCTGCCACCTGCAATTTCAAATTGCTTGTAGAACTGGGGTGATTGGGCGAGGAAAGCCTCCTCGCCGAAGTATGCGAATCGGAAAACGTTACCGCCACCTTCGGAGGCTGCGCCGATGAGGCAGGGAGGCTCGAATTCCTTGAACTTCTGGTTCTCGAGGTATGACCGGAAGATCTTCTTCACTTCGATACGGATATCCTGTGCCGGTATCGTCAGTAAAATCATTTGAAGCTTGGTCTTGAGTACAAACGTACGGCAATGGCCTGCTGGACGGGAGCGCGCTTGTGCATGGCAATGTTGTCGAGATGGGTAAGCATTGTCGCGGAGGGCACCGTGTTTGTGTTCTCGGCAGCTTTCTCTTTCTCCGCTTCAGCGTCGGCGACGGGTGCCTTCTCGTCGCTGAAGTTGACGATGGGCTGACTGGCAGCTCCCATGGTCATGCCAAGCATGGCGGGGGCCGGTGCGAGGACGAAGCACTTGGTGATGTGGAGCTCCAGACCAGAAACCCGGCAACTCTTGACGGGCTCAAGAGGCTGCTTCACCTTGGCCTCAACAACCACATAACTCTCGGGGTTGATGCTGGTGATCCACTTGACCATGCGGCGACTGACAATGGGCTCCTCGTCAGAGGCCATGACAACACCCTGGATGTTCCAGTTACCTCCCTTGCGAAGCTCGACGAAGCCCATCTTGGCACTCTGAACACGAGAGTTCTGAAGCCATGCACGGACAATGACGGTCTTGCCATTGTTGGAGTCGTTCAGCTCGCGGATTTCGACTTCTTCGGCATCCTTGCTGAAGACAGGCTTGGTGCCGTAGTTGTCCTGGGCGGGGTCGTCCTCGAGAGTGACTGCGGCGGCTTGCTGGGCGAGCTCTGCCGCACGCGCAGCCTTCATGGCCTCCTTCTTGGCCTTGGCCTCGGCCTTCTTCGCGCCCTTCTTGGACGTCGGTGCTGCTTCGTCGGCCATGATGCTGAGATTTGTCGTTATTGGTGGTTGAGCTAGACACACGATCAGGCGTGAAATTGAGGGGTAAGGTAAGGTACAGAGTAATGGAGGGGCAATGAGGGGCAACGTGGGAAAAATTTGGATGTCATACCACCACGTGACTCTTATACCAGTAATGCACAGACCACTACAGCTCGGCGTGACGTGGTGAGATGGATTCTGAGAGCTTCTTCGGTCAGAGACTGCCCATGCACTAGACTGCCGGAGTCATTTTGGATTGTAAATACGGCTCATTGAGCTTCAAAGATGCAGGTGACTCACTATTCAGCCGCATCTAAGCATGAAGCTGGTACCAGTCCAAGGAAGTCGAGCCTGCAATAGCAATGGACCGGGACTAGATGAGCTCATCAATACTGGCGATGATCCTCAACATTCCGGGAGTCTCAGCAAGTTCTCAAATGCGACAGTGAAAATTGATGTTGAAGATAGCCAGGTTTCTTCCCTAGTTATCATGAAGCTCTCATGCATCGGAATGAGGACCTTAAAGCTGGCCCAAGATAAATTGACACTAGGCTCAATTAATCCATGTTTTCCTCATCGTCGTCATCGTTTGCTATTACCAGTCAAATGCTACATACCTGGAGAGAATACATTGGCATGCTCCCTTCTATTTTTTTCGTTCAGGCCCTCAGTGTAGCTTCCGGGGTATCTAATTAGATGTGCTGTCTGAAGAGCGAGTCTGAAACGTGATAACTCTTTCTGTCAATGGTGAGAGATGCTGGACGTACCTAGGTAGGCGACTTTCCGCTCGCGAGCCTTGCTGTCGGTGAATTTTGGGCCATCATTCCTACCCCCGGACAGACTAAAGGTGAATATTGGCAGCATATCAGCAATGGACAGGGAAATCACACCTTCGACCAATCCCAAAGCAAAAGCAAAAGCGAATGTGTCATCTCAGCAAGATATGGTGCAATCAAAAGGCAAACTTTTGTTGGGTTCTGTTCATGCTTATGCCCATATTGCATTGTCACTGGATCTCTCTCCCTTATATCATATGTGCAAAACCGTTTCTTCGTCCATACGCCAATCCCCACCCCAAACCATATTTAGTCCGTTCCGAGCCTCCACAGACCATCGCCGAGGAAATGCGCCTCCTCCACCACAGGCCCCTTGCCCTTATCCTTAACTTCCTTGGTACCAGCAACCAAGAACCCAACAGCACACGCCTCCGTCTTGCCCTCCGCCATAATAACAACCGGCTCACCCTTCTCCAGCTCTCGGCTCCACCTCCCTTCCTCGTCGACGCCCTCGGCGCCCTCCCGAGGCTCAGGCAACCGCCCACCGGCGCTCGTCAGCCCGGGAGCCATGAGCGTGGCGCCCGAGAGCACGAAGCGGATGGCGCCGCGGTCGATGCGGATTGTCGGAAAAGCTTGCGGGAAGCGGTGGACGAGCTTGAGGTGCGGGACGAGGGTGGCGTTGTCCTGCTGGTAGAAGAGGGGCTGCTGCTCGCAAACGAAGAGCGAGCAGCGGTCGGGCAGCTTCATCTGCTCGAGAGAGGCCTTTTTGGGCATCACTTCTTCGATATAGGGGTTCAGGAGGGGGTAGCTCGAGAGCAGCGAGTCGCGGAGGGAGCGCTGGACGGAAGACTTGAGCTTCTGCTTCGGCTTGGAGGTTATGCTGTGAGGGCGGGGTAATTTTGTTAGCTTTCCCTGCGACTTTTCTGTGGTTTGGTCATTGGGTGTATGAGCATATGGCGACGTACTCTTTCTTGAACATTGTGGCGGTATTGAAATCGAAGTCTGCTATAGAAAAGAAGGGGGTATCACTGGTGTATTTGGGACGTTGTCGAGACCTATCGCGTCTGTGGCAGTCTGTGGTGGTAGTTGATGGTGGGGTTGTCAAGAGCGAGCATCGCCGACGAAAATTGCCCCGCAGTCGGGCGGGCGGGGCGGACCAATCATGCACTAATGGAGGGGCAGACGCTTCACGCGCGAGGGGCTTCGTGATCCCATCACGTCACTTTTATCGATGAGAGAAAAGCGAAAAATCCCGATAGCTCGTAGTTTAGGGGATTAAAAATCATAATTCTTCAAAATGTCGTAACTATACTGTCATGCAAAAAGCTCTATCGTAACCCATGATCGCGTGCGGGGTTTTGCCGATGCCCAGAGTTCTTCTGAGCACAGGCGCAGGTAATCCATCGTTGCGAAAGCTCAACCGTGGTTGACGTGAGAAACGGTTCCGTCCTCCTTGACGTGAACGTTGAGTCTGTTGGGTCTGAAGTCCTTGGTGACCATCATGCCAGGCTCGATAACACGGGACTCTTCGGGGAGATCCCTCTTGCAGAAGGTCTAGGAAAGCATCGCCATTAGTATAACCAAATCTTCTGTCACAGAGAGGAAGGTAAATTTACCGTCTCGTTAGACTCCTCCTCGTGGAGTTTCTTTCCGACCAGCTTGTTGGTCCAGAGCTGAGTCTTGTCATCGGAGTCGTTGTTGTTGATACCAGGTACGACGAGAGGCATGATGGCGGTTGTGGTATGGAGATTCTGGTGTGTTGGTTGATGTCTGAATGCTTAAAAGCGTATGTGTTTTGGTATGTGAAGCTAGTGTATGATAAGGTTGAGTGAGGAGATGAAGACTGGAGTAAGTGATGGTTTAATAGCAAAGAAGCGTCGTGGACGTCCAAAACAGGAAGGTTGGAGGTCTAGAAGCTGCATCGGCCGATGACGTCGGTAATCGTGTGGGGGCGGGGGTTTTGTTTCTCGCAGAACTCAGGGACTGCTGCTCGTCCGACGCAAAGCGCCGCCGGGACGATCTTGGAACCGAAGCACGTCAACCTCTAAATTCCCGGCAGTAAGTACGTAGGTCCTCACTGACCCCTATTTCTTATCTTGCTCGGATATTAGAGC